TAATGCGGATCCTAATGCCCTTTTGTTGAGACTTAGGCTGGTAGATCTGACCCAGGTGTTTTTACTTCACTTTTCCTAATCCATAGGCCATTCCGATTTGAGTTGCTAGGAATGTATTGAGAAAGGCATGGGCCTAGTCCATGGTAGACATGAATTAGAGAAGCCAGGCTCTGGGGAAATAGTAGTTGTCCTCTCATGTAGCTCCACCAAAGCCATGGTCTAAAAAAGGAACGAATGGAGGCTTGCAGAGTACACTGAGCAACAAGAGGAAGCGGAGTAGACACGTCACATTTTATGATAGAACCATGTGCCTTTCAAGATAGAGAATTGCGTGCGTACTGCGTGCTTTACTTGTTAGTAGCTTTATAAAATCAGGAATATTTTTCTGTGGAAAATGGTTTACCACAGAAATCAGATATTTTTTGTGAAAATGATAGAAATTTTAGCCTATGAAATAGGTACCAACACTGACATATAGTGACCCTGTGGTTTCTGGCGCTGTAAATCTCTACAGGAGCAGAAAGCCTTATCTTGTCTTCTGCAGAGGTAGCCTGGTAGGTTTCAGCTCCCTGCTTTGTGGTTAACAGCCTTCACACTTACCTGACTACCACCAGGGTTCCTGTTACAGTACAGGTGACCATAAATCTTGTCTTCATGCCTAATAATAACATCCCATTCACTCTCAGAAATGTTGCAGTTTGGACTATAAATTATATGCTCATCCTAATTATAGAGGACTGTAGAACTTTTAGTCACTGCCTAACTAACAAGCCAGTTTTCTTTATAGAGCTCTCCATTCTAGAGTCTTCTCTAACTAGGAACAGTCAGCTGCCTCCCGGTTCTAACTGAGCAGTTTCTTGTATTGACTCATTGCATTTTTCTTTGGTCATTAGGTGTCGGTAGGGGAAAGATGAATATAGATTTAATTATTTTTATTAAGAAAGTTCAAACAGAAGGAATAGAAAACTTACTCCACCCATTAGATTTTATTTAAAAGATTAATTTGATCAAGATAGGTCTATACTATGCACTGCTTTTTTTTTCTTTATTGGGGTCTCTTACAGCTCTTATCACATTCATACATACATCCATTGTGTCAAGCACATCTGTACATATATTGTCATCATCCTTTTCAAAACATTTTCTTTCTACTTGAGCCCTTGGTATCAGCTCATTTTTTTCCCTCCCTACCCCATGAACCCTTGATCATTTATAAATTTTTTTCATGCTTTACACCAACTGCTGTCTCTCTTCACCCAATTTTATGTTGTCCGTCCCCCTGGGAGGGCGCCATACGTTGATCATTGTGATCAGTTCCTCCCCCTACCCATTAAAGAACGAAAGGAAAGTTGTGTGTTTTGTTGGTGCTATGCTGCACCTTGGCTCATCTCTTCCTTGGGGCCCTTCTGACAGGGGATGTCCAATTGACTACTGATGGGCTTTGGGTCTTCACTCTGCCCTCCCCCTCACTCACATTGATGGGACTTTTTGTTTGTTTATTTTGGGTTTTTGATGCGTGATACCGGATCCCATCAACACCTCATGATTACACAGGCTGGTGTGTTTCTTACATGTGGGCTTTGTTGCTTCTCTGCTAGATGGCCACTTGTTTATCATCAAGCCTTTAAGACCCCAGACGCTTTATCTTTTGATGGCAGGGCCCCAACAGCTTTCTTCACCACATTTGCTTATGCACCCATTTTGTCTTCAGCGATTGAATACACTACGCTTGATTGATGTTTTTTAGTCTAAATTTATAGGTTCTTACTTAATAGAGTTTCTTAGCTTTGAGATTTTGAAGATTTTTATTTTCATGGTTTAATTTAATACACCGCTATCAAAATCTCCCCTCCCTTCATTAAGTTAGTGAATTAGTGATTAGATTGATTGCAAGTATACTTTCTGTGCTGTGTACTTCCATTAAGAGTTACGCAATATCTACTTGTCATTGCTTAGATCATCCATTCTCAAACTTAAAGTTAAAACTCGAACACCACAAAAGAGTTTTTGTTTACATGGATTTTATCTATATTTCCATGTTATAAATTAAGAAAGTTTTCAAGTAACTATTAATAGCTTTTAAAATAGAGCAATAAAACCCTAACATATAAAGCATGTGATTTTTTTAAAATCATTTTATTATGAGCTTATACAACTCTTATCACAATCCATACATACATCAATTGTGTCAAGCACATATGTTGCCATCATCATTCTCAAAACACCTGCTTTCTACTTGAGCCCTTGGTATCGGCTCCTCATTTTTTCCCCTCAGCCTCCCTCCCCTCTGAACCCTTGATAATTTATAAATTATTATTATTTTGTCATATCTTAAACCATCTGATGTCTCCCTCACCCACTTCTCCGTTGTCCGTCCTCCAGGGAGGAGGTTATATGTAGACCTTGTAATCTGTTCCCCCTTTCTCCCTCACCTTCCCTCCGCCCTCCCGATATCACCACTCTCACCACTGGTCCTGAGGGGTTCATCTGTCCTGGATTCCCTGTATTTCCAGTTCCTGTCTGTGCCAGTGCACATCCTGGGGTCCAGCCCGATATGTAAGGTAGAATTGGGATCATGCACTCCCCCTCATTCACAATGCTATGGTTTTTTGTGGGTTTTTTGGATCTTTAATGCCTGATACCTGATCCCTGCAATGCCTTGTGATCTCACAGGCTGGTGTGCTTCTTCCATGTGGGCTTTGTTGTTTCTCAGTTAGATGGCCCCTTCCAGCCTATAGGACCCCAGATTCTATATATTTTGACAGCTGGGCACCGTCAGCTTTTTTCACCGCATTTGCCTACCCCCTTTGTCTTAAGTGTTGGTGTCACAGTAGGCTAGTGTGCTTCTTCCATGTGGGCTTTGTTTTTCTTAGCTAGATGGCGGCCTGTTTATCTTCAAGCCTTTAAGACCCCAGACGCTATATCATTTGATAGCCAGGCAAAGCATGTGATTTTTAAGAATTTTTTTTTATGGTGACAAAGTGGCATAATTTTATTTTACATTTTTGCAAATCTCTTTTGTGTCAGACTTAATAGACCAGCTGTTTTCTCATAAATGCTTCTTCATTTAATTTGTTATAATATCTTTTTTGTTTTATTGAAGACCACAAAGCAAATCTGGCCTCACCCCTAGATATGTATGTAGTTAGAAAAGAGCAGACCTCACATGCCCCCTAAAGAATCTTAGGAACTTCAGGGATTTTCAAACCACGCTTTTGAGAACCACTGCTGTTTTTAAGTGTGGAAACCGAAATGTGGACTTGCTTTTTTCCCCTTTTTTTAATTTCAATTTTTTGTTTTTTTTTTTCCTTTTATCTAGCAGTTTTGAAAAGAATCAATTGGTTACCATGCAGTCTCCAAAGATCAATAATATGGGTTGATCTTTGTTTCTAAACCTTTCCAATGGACCTTTCCAATGGACAGGGTTAGGAAATTCTTTTTTTCCTTTCTCCATTTCAAAATATCAGTAGTTGGTACTAGATAACTTCCATTTCAGGTTCCGTAATGATACGTATGTAAACTCAGTCAAGTTCTCTTTTCCCTATGCCTTAGGATCCAATGTCCTTATACCCGAGGCTTTGTCCACTGTACACACCCCAGAATGGTAGAATGAATCAAGCTTTGATGATTAGAAAGGAGGGGTTGGTTTTTGTGGTGGGGTGGAGTTGGTAGTTGTTTGTTTTTTGTTTTTTACATTTCACTCCCTTGTTTGCCATTAAAGTTATATATAATTATACGGATGGGAGAGAAAATAGAGGAGTTGATACCAGGAGCCCAAATAGACAGTAAATGTTTAGAAAATAATGATAGGTAACATATGTACAAGCGCTCTTGATAGAATTGATATATGGATTGTTATAAAAGCTGTAAGAGCCTCAATAAAATGATCTTTGTACTATATAAATATAATTCTAATGATGTACAGTCATATTGTAATATCTCCAACTTGATACAGTACAGTAAATTTGTTCTAGTTTGCTTTGAGATTGTCCAAGGATTTGGCAGTTTCTTGCTTTGTCCATGCACTGCTTTTTAATTAGATGGAATCAATTATTTAGCCAAATATGAATAACACCTTATAAAGTTGTGTTGTTACTACATGAGATAATGCAGGTAAAGTGATTATTAAAGACAGTGACTGATGTAAGCATTCAGCAAATGTTAGCTTTTATTTTGTGTTATTTAAATATATTAACCAGTATTAAAATTACATAAAATGTTATTTGAGAAGGAATCTATACAGAATCGAGGCTTATTTCCAGGACACTAGAAATTGTACTCTTTGAAGACGCTTTAGGGCGTCCGTGTAATGCAGTTGCAAGATAGAGCTGCTTTTTAGTGGGGACATTGTTTTGTTTTTAATGCTTTGGGTTTGAAATGAGATGGAGTGGTGGTAAAGTGAATTCAGATTGGATGGTAGTATTTTAGATAAAGGAATAGGGGTTATAGGAAAAGACATTGATGGACAATATCCTCATAGTTTGCTTTTTAAAACTTTTTGTCATATACATACTGGAATATTTATAAATGAAATGTCTGGGATTTACTTTAGTATAAGGGTTGGGGATAATAAACAAGATTGACTGAATTAGTCTTGATGAAACTGGATAACGAGTAAGTAGAGATTCTTTGTACAGTTTTACTTTTGTGCTTGTTTTTAAATTAGCCTCAGTGTGTATTAGGAGCCCCAAGGAGCCCTGGTCTTGGTGTGGATTAGGGTTAGACTGTTACCTTGCAGGGTTAGTGGGTACAGATCTACCCTTTGCTCCCTCCACAGGACCGAGAGCCTGACTGTTTTGAAAAGATTCGCAGCCTTCGTTTCGAAATCAACTTAATGGCATTGGTTAGGCTTTTGGTTTGGGTTATTGAATCGGACTAGTGAACATGTGCAGGTATTTCAGATGTTAGTTGCCCTTTGGGCTAGATTTCTCTTCTTACCATCTCATTTCTTATTCAAAGAAAAAGATAGTGGCTACGTTGGATCAAAAAGCAGGTCACCAATACTTACCTGGCAGAGGAGATACCAAGATCACGAAGGTGGTTTTCCCAGGGCGAGGCTTGTTCATTGCACTCCAGATGTGTTGACCCCTGCGGTTTCCCCAAATGTGGGAGGCTCCACTGCATAGTTTGTAGTGGTGGGGCACTGCTCCCGCTCTCCCCTGGGGAGGGGGAACTAATTAATTTTTTTTTTTTTAAAGCAAGTCACCTGAGAAAGCAATTGTTTTCTTATCATGAAGTCATGGTCTGTTTATTCAGTTTTTATTTTTGAAAATTCAAATAAGTTTGCTACTAGAGATTGAAGCCTTCTCCATCCACTTGTATCCATCAACTTTGACTCACTGCACCGGGCTCAATTTTTCTTTTAAATATTTTCCAAAAGAAAATAACTTCCAAGATAATTTTGTAAAAGAAGATATTTTTAACAGATCGAAAATTGCTCAGTCTCTGGGTGGTGCAGAAGTTTGATTATAAGCCAAATGCAACGGTTTGAATCCACTCAGAGGTTCTTCAGGAAATAGACCTTCTGAAAGGTCACAGCTTTAAAAACCCTTGTGGAGTAGTTCTACTCTGTACGTGTGGGATCACCATCTGTCAGAAATGATTCAGAGGCAACTAACAGTGACAGATAATGGGTTATACTTCCTTTTTAAAAATTGTCATTCAAAAGAATAAGGAAATTTTAGAACTTTGTAAATTATCATTTTATATATTTGCATCATTTGGGCGGCTCACCAAAGCAGGACTGATAGGAATTCATATGAGTTTTCATATATACTTATGTGCAGAAAACTATTGTCATTCTTCTGTCGTTATTACCATATATACTCGTATATAAGCCGAGTTTTCCAAGCACATTTTTAATGCAGTTTTTGTGGTAAAATTAGTTGCCTCAGCTGATGTTCGGGTCAGCTTATACTGTATATACACGATATTCTGGTTTGCTGTGTGTGGGGCAGTTGCAAAAGATCTGACATATTACCAAATATGTATGTTTGTTTTGTTGTTTTGTATAATGCTAGATATTTGTTATGCAGGTAAACACTGTTGCACTTTTAAGACCAAGTCTTTGACCCCAGGATATGAGAACCACCACTCTAAAGTTATTAGTGCTGGTCCATAAGATAATTAAATCAATTGAAGTTGTTTAGGGTTTCATTTCACTGAAGTAACAGGCAAATCTGCAAAAGCACGTCTGTAATGTGTTGAAGAGCAAAAATGTCACTTTGAGGACTAAAGTGTGCCTGGCCCAAGCCATGATATTTTCAGCTGCCTCATATGTGTGTGAAAGCTGAACAATAAATAACAAAGACTAGAAGAATTATGAGCCCTGGTGGCATAGTGGTTATGAGTTGGGCTACCAATCCTCGAGGTCAGCAGTTTAAAACTGCCGCCACTCCAAAGGAGAAAGATGGGGCTTGCTATTTCAGTAAAGAGCTGCAGTCTTGGGAACTCACAGGTATAGCTTTCAACCCTGTCCTATAGGGTCACTATACATTGGCATGATCCCAATGGCAGTGAGTGGAATAGAAGAATTGATGCACTTGAATTACAGTGTTGAAGAATATTGAATATCTCATGAGCTATCAGAAAAAACAGATCTTTCTTGGAAGAAACACAGTTGAAATGCTCCTTAGAACCAAGGATCACAAGACGTTGGCTATGTTATCAGGAAGGGACTAGTCCCTGGAAAGGGACCTCATGTTTTATAAAGGTCATGGGAAAAGAGGAAGACCCTCAATGAAATAAATTCACACAGTGGTTTCAGCAATGGCCTAAAATATAGGAAGTGTTGCTATGAGTCAGGAGTTGGGGGCGCATAACAAGAGGTTGTGCGTTTTTTACTTCATGCTGTTTGCTGCTAGAATTCTACATTTGCTTAGGCTTACCCATGTTGAGAGAGAGAGCTCTAGGGGATATGGGTAAGCAATAGAGATGGTTCAAGGGAAAGTGGCAGTGAAAGAATACTCACCTTTCTGTGATGTTTCATTTCCCAACTGTGCTCCCCGTGTGCAGCCACTGCCCATCTGTCAGTGTGGGCTTGCATGTTGCTGTGATGCTACAGGCCTGGCAGTCTGTAGCCAAAAATTTTCTCGCAGCTATAGTTTGAAGGATTCATCTAGCTTCCGTGGCACCATAAAGTCAGGAGTGCATGGGAATTTGAAAATGCATACTGTATGAGAGATTTATGTAAGCAGCCTTAGCAGTTTTGAGGGATTAGTTGGGGAGGGGTGGGTGTTAATTATGTAAATATAGCATTTGTGTTATGCTTCATTGTGCTTACTAAGCCTTTTTTTTTTTTTTTTTTGGTGGGTGGTGATGATTTTGTGTACTACATTCAGTGTTGCAGTATGCACTTTGCTAATGTTACTATCTGTGCTCACTCACAGGTGTAATGTTTCTGACCCCCCAAAATTTATACATACATTATAGACAATAATAAAACGTTCTCTTTTTTTCCCCTCCCCACTTTTTTCCTTTGTAACAATTTTATTGACACTTCATATGTTATACAATTCAGCGATTCAATCATCAAGAACCGTTATTAGCACAATCAATTTTAGAACATTTCTTCCTTGTACTCATTTGCTATTCATGTAATTTTTTTATTGTGGCAAAACTTTTTTTCAAGACATAATTAGGTTACAATCAGTTTAAAATGAATTAGAACAGACCACTTGTGTATCTACCACACAGTTTATGCCGATTTAACTTTTTATTAGTGTATGACCAACTGACATCACTTAAAATAATCAGCTGTGCAGCCCACCCCTAAGCCAGTGTAATTCTAAAATATCAGTTCATAAACAGTAAACCCTTATTTCTCCCTTCTTTATGCTCTTGGTAACAACTAATAAACCTTGTTCTTTGTGAGATTGTGCAGTATTTGCCATTTTTGTGATTAACTTATTTTTAAAATCATTTTATTAGGGGCTCATACATCTCTTATCACAATCCACACATACATCAACTGTGTAAAGCGCATTTGCACATTCATTGCCCTCATCATTCTCAAAACATTTCCTCTCCACTTAAGACCCCGGCATTAGGTCCTCATTTTTGCCCTCCCTCCCCACTCCCCCATCCCTCATGAGCCCTTGATAATTTATAAATTCTTATTTTGTCATATCTTGCCCTGTCCGACATCTCCCTTCACCCACCTCTCGGTTGTCCATCCCCCAGGGAGGAGGTCACATATAGCTCTCTGTAATCGGTTCCCTCTTTCCTACCCACTCTACCTCTACCCTCCCAGTATCGCCACTTACACCACTGGTCCTGTAGGGATCATCTGCCCCGGATTCCCTGGATTTCCAGTTCCTTTCTGTACCAGTGTACATTCCCTGGTCTAGCCAGACTTGCAATGTAGAATTCGTGTCATGATAGTGGGAGCGGGGAAGAAACATTTAGGAACTAGAGGAAAGTTGTAATTTTCATTGTTGCTAAATTGCACCCTGACTGGCTTGTCTCCTCCCCGAGACCCTTCTGCAAGGGAGTCTCCAGTGGCCTGCTAATGGGCTTTGGGTCTCCACTCCACACTCCCCCCATCA